CTATTTCTAATAGACTATAAAAATGGCTTACTTTTCACGAGGACAATGTGGAGAGCAGTAGTCCTAGACCAAATGTTAGTGAACCTGTTTACTGCTCATATAAGCAGCAAAATTGGACTTAAACTGTTGATAATCTTGGCATCCATAACTGCATTCTGGGAAGGATTTTAATAGCATCAGTGGAGTCTATCCATCAACTCTAGCTACTGTAACTCAATAGTTGAACTAGCATATCAGGAATTTCCTACAATTTAGTGAAGACATGTTAAGTGGCCTTCTCTAAATATTCCTGCAAAACACTCTGTGAAACAATCACAACCAGCTTCCTCCTGGACACACATTGTTCTAGGGGCTTAACATGCAATGTCTCCTTTAAGCCTGGCAATTGAATAATGTGGGTCTTACCATTACCTGCACTTGCAGCTGAGAGAAATGAGGCAAAGGGGAGTTAACTACCCTACCAAGGATTCCCCGGCTAGTAAACGCTGGCCCTGAGGCTCTAACCAAGGTGGTCTGACCACGGGGCTGGCTGTCCTCTGACTCGCCATGTTTGTTGTTTGCACTTACATGTAATTTGGGCTTCATGAATTCAAAATATTCACGTGATTTCACCAAAAAGGTTCAAATGCCACAAGAGTCAGTAAGTAATAGGTCTTAACTTAATATTTAAATGCTTCTCTAATCTCTGATGAATGGCTTTTCCTTATCCAGAAAGTTCCTCCTGAGTCAACATAGGAACTGAGACAAAGTGATAAGCCAGCCTGGACCTCCAGAACATCCTTTAACTCCCTTCCCGATGGGGGATCTGACCACTTTCTTTTGATTAGCATTTCCTTCCACTTTGCTTCTGATTATTAATTAATCAATTAATCAATTAATTAATTAATACGGCCTGTATTTTCCCACCCTCAACACCTGGAGGGTCCAAACAAATCTCGTTTCCATAAGGGATGTTTACTTCTGTTTCTTTAAAGGGAATAAACAGGTGGTATTTTTCTCCAAGGCTGACTCCTAACTACCGAATGAGCTGTTTGTTTTAATGGTACCCAAACCAACAATCCATGGGCCTTTATAACCCAGTTATTATGGGACCCACTTACATAAGCCAAGCAATTAAAACTGCCAAAAAATGCCTGGGATTCCCAAACCCGGCGAGATACACATAGTTTAGCAACTTCTGACAATTGTACATTTATAAGAGGCAACGGATGATGGACCTCTCTAAGAGGTTTAAACAAACAATCACAGCAGTCTGAATTCAGGATACAAGTCTGTGTATCTGCCATGCAAAAGTGCCTTTCCACAGAGCTTGTAGAAAGAAAGCAGCAAATTTATTCTACTTTGTGTGGGTTTAAAATGCAAAAAAAATATGTAGTTTTGAACTCAGATAATGGCACGCATTGTGAGAGGAGGCAGTTCAGCTCACCAGCATTATTTACCAAGCTGCCTTGGGCTGCTCAGGTTTTTCCTAAATGTAATGAATGGGCCTGATTCTTTTTAAAAAAGAATATATTTTTCAAAACATGAATGCCTGCAAATCTGTAGAGTCAGGAGTAGGAGCTTGTTGATGGGCAGCACCTAACACATAGTCCTCAACCCTTTGTGCATAACTGAGGCTGTAAAATTATTTCTCAAATAATAACAAATAGGCTCTGCACCCCTATGATATCAAAATTCAAGTGCCTCTTTTCAAAACTGTTCTTAGGACATAGGATTAATGCACGAGCCTAACCATGCCAAATCAGAACATTTTTAAAAACTAAATTCATACAACTCGGTTACAAAATATATGCTAATTGGAAGACATGCTCCTTCCTCTTTTCTCAATTTTAAGTCTTTTCCATGTTTTTCTTTGCATCTTCCATGTGGTGTTTGGAAGTCAGTACACTCTGGGACAGTGGCTTGACACCCTGCAAAGTGCTCATGCTTTTGTTAAATTCTAAAAAGCAGGTTACAACATTATAAAGGAAGTACACCTGAATATAAACAACCTTTAATCCTGGACAAAATATGAAATATCTTCAGAGAAATTTGCTTGGAAAACAGAATATCTAGTCACTTGAAATCTAGTTTAATTTAGCCAGGTCACTCAGAGACAAAGCATTAAATCCATAAATCTTACAATTACCAGGTATCATAGGAGGCTCATATCCTCACCCTAACACTTACGGGTGTGGGTATGTCGGAGGTAAGGGTCTGGGGAAGATTCTCTTTGTTAATAAAATGAAGCAGATGTGACTATAAATTTGTTTAAAAAGCTGACATCAGATCATGTTCCTATTTCAAATGGAGAAGGGACACAGAATGCTAGGTAATTTTTAAAACATAAAACAGATCGTCTAATATATGTGGCTAACATCCAGGTCCAAAGATTTTTTCTTTGGTCCGTCCTTTTTGTATTTCATGTGTATATTATCATTGGCTAAAAAAGAAAATACTTTATTATTAAACTATGCTCTGCTTCTAATGCCAAACATCTACAGAAGGGCAAGGTTATAAAATAATTTCAGTGATACATAAACTTCTTTATGAACATGAAAATTACAAGTTTAGAAGCTGACTTCTGAAGTGCAAAGTCTCTGCCACTCAGAAAGACAGGTACCTACGACCCCGTTCTTAAACTTGCCTGTGCCGTGATGCTCTAGACCCTTCCAGGGCTGTGTTCTTGTGCCCCCTAATTCATACAGCTGGAAATGTTTACATTAAATATTTCTATTTTGCTCTACTAATGGCAGTTTTCTTTGAATTCCTGAAGAATAATAGGGGAAAAAATGGATCTCCCCTTAAAGCAGTTCTCAACCTGTGGGTCGTGACCCACAGGAACTGTATTAAAGGGCCAAGGCATGAGGAAGGGTGAGAACCACTGCCTTGGAGTAATTCATAAGGAAGCACAGGCTCAGCGCCTGTGGCTCAAGTGGCTAAGGCACCAGCCACATCCACCTAAGGTGGCAGGTTCGAATCCAGCCCAGACCCGCCAAACAACAATGACGGCTGCAACCAAAAAAAATAGCCGGGCACTGTGGTGGGTGCCTGTGGTCCCAGCTACTTGGGAGACTGAGGCAGGAGACTCACTTGAGCTTTACTCCAGGAGTTGGAGGTTGCTGTGAGCTGTGAAGCCACAGCACTCTACCCAGGAGCATAGCTTGAGACTCTGTCTCAAAAAAAAAAAGAAAAAGAAACCTAATCATAAGGAAGCACAGAAGAGAGGCAGAATGAGAGATGGATTAAATTCTGGTTGCAACTCAGACACTTACTGGGACCACAGGCCAAGCTGCTTCTCCACATATTACAGATGTGTTCCTCCCAGCCATACTGCCTGTGCCTGCTTAGCACACACAGGATGTGCAGGTATTTCAAGGGAACGAAGGCATCATATGCACATGAACAACCCAAAGAGAGCAATGGCTATGGTCAACATCAGCTGAACAACTGACTACGAGTAGCTAAGACTTCTACTACACACACATTCATTCATATAATACAGAGCAAATTGCTACATATTCTTACTTTCATGAATTTTTATGTATTCTTTCAGAAAAATCCCAAAATGTTCTATTATAAGGAATGATGATAATAATGATTTCCCTATAGCATAGATTAACATATGTTTTGGGATCCTAGAAAACTTAAACTGACCTGGTTACTTTCTTTCCCTTTGGAAAACAGGCGCAAAACTCTGAATGGAATTAGGTCACAGTTAATGACCTTGGCACAAACCAGAGCTTACTAACCAACTGAAACTCAACCCGCGACCTTGCCCTTCTGAACAGTCTCCCTTTGTTGAACTAATCAACCGTAGTCAATTTCTCAAGAAAATCTTACTCCCAAGAGTACCAAATACTTGTCTTGCTATTTAGGGAAGTCCTCAGAAGCAGTTCTGAAATGTTCAAATAAATTTCAGTGAAAAAATTCAGTATTTTTACATAGTTGAATAAGCTTCACAAATAAACACACTTATTTGCCTATAATAGTAAGGCAAACAAGTTGCTCTAAACTTGAAAAAACCCACAGGATACATTCCTCCAGCAGGAATGCCCTCCCTCACAAAAATTTCTTGGGCAGCGTTTTGCTATCATTGTAGGGCTTCATTAGCTTTTGTGACTCCAGAGCACAGCATGAAAATGAGGAGTGGAACGTTATGCTTTAGAAAATTAAGTTTGGACGCTCCCACATAATCAACTTGATTTGTGTTTCTTGCTTTTGGCTTGTACTAGTAAAAGCTTAGTCACCCCCCTTCCCAAGCTCTGCTCCAAAGTACAGTGCAGTATCGCACAAACCCCCACGTATAAAGTTTGGAGTAAGCCTGATGACTTAATGTAAATATTCCCAGAGATTGCAATAAAAGCTAATCAAACATGTATTATCAAGTGCTGTGCGGTATTTCCAGCTTTCCACTCACTGGCCACAGCACTCTGAGGGAGCTGTGGCTGAGGGCTGGGTGGCTAAAAATGCCTGGAGGATACACTCTGTGTGAGTCGCAGACAGGTCAGAAGCTAATCATTTTTTCCCCTTCAGTCAGCTTCAGAAAAAAAAAAAAGTCCCCATTACCAACAAAATAGTTTCCATTTTAAAAAGAATACTTTCTCTCCGCCGCAGTTTTCTCTCAATGAGCAGTTAATACGGACTTCATGCAAACTCAGAACCCTTACTCACACAGATCAGACATAGTCAAGGCATACAATTTTAATTTTCGCCATATACATATATGTAGACAAAAGCATCTGGTGTGGGAAGCAGGGCTGATCTTCCTAGTGTCTGACTCGGTAAGGATAAATCTCTGGAACAATGTGGCAGATGGCTGTTCACAATGTCCAGATTAGTCTTGCCCTGGCACTCAGACATCCAAGTAGCCCAGTCGGATTCTTTTCACATCCACCCTTTCATTTTTGAAGCACAACAAGAGAATGGAAACGCTATCAACAGGCATCTCTGCTCAGGTAAAGGCTCTGGGAACAGCTAGAGAAAACTGCCTGCCTGGACAACAAACCGCTTGTCCCTACCTGCTGTGACCTCAGAATGGCAGCATCGATCTCCTCCACCTTCTGAGTGATGGTGTCACTCACGAGTCGGTAGCGCTCGTTGTCCTCAGCCACCATTTTCTCGAGTCCTTCTCTGGCTCTCCATGGAACCAGTTCCAGCAAAGCACTGCTCACTTCATTCAGGGAGTCCAACAAGGCTTTGCTGTTTTTAGCTTCCTTTTTCAGTTCCTGAAAGCAGACAAATACGTGGGCACCACGTAAAGAGTGCGAACAGGATTTTCCTTTAATTATATTCTGAGGCTCAAGTCCTTTTTTGTAGGCCAATAACGTGACACTTGGGCCATCACCTTGGTTTCAGTTAAGTTAAATAAACCTCTGTTAGTTAAAGCTATTTTGCAAAAAAAGGAAAGTTTTGTTTCCTGAGAAGTTCAAAAGAACAATTCGTTTGTCCACATGGCAAGATGTTATCGCTGAAATTTAATATTAATATAAATATTTTAAATTTGGGAAACAAAACCAAGCAAGTGAACATGTTTTATTCTTTGCTTTCTGGAAACCTCTTAGTAATCAGGTAATAGAAAAGTCAAAAAAAAAAAAAAAGAGGAATGAAGCCAGAATTAAGTGACCTTCAAAATGAGGACATACTGGCCTTAAATCGTTCTAGCTGAATCACTCAGGGAGCCTGACCTCACCCAGTCCCCTTCACCCACACGTGATCATACTTCAGGGATGATGAAAACAGAGACTGATGTCTCTGAGAAGGAGAATGATTAGCATGATCGTTTACTATTTTTGTGATAGAATTAGAAAGCCTGCCCCGTGCTATCTTATAGAAATAAAATCACACGACTCTCTGAGACAAGGATTATTTTCCTTTGCTTCCCTGTTTTCATCATTCTGTCCCTGGTGTAATAAGACTCTCGAAACAAATTATAATATACTGTTTTCATCTCTGGGTTTGTAAAAGTTTAAACCGTTGATCTGCTGCCAATTTCTCCTGGGTCCCTGCCCACCGAAGCATCTTTCAGTATATTAGTAATGACACGAGACGAACATCATCTCATTCCTGTGCGAATGTGACTCCTTGAAAGATAACACACTTATCCAAAACGTATAAATCAGAGCATACTTTTTGTCTTGCTTGCACTTGGTTCGCCGCTTCTCCCTTCAGAACCTGAGTTTCATATGAAAGTAATTCCGTCTCTGCCTTGTCCAGCCAGGTGCACAGCTCTCCGTGCGTGGACTGCAGCCGCCTTGAAAGCTGCAGGGCCTGGTCCAGAGTCTGGGCCACGTCAGTGCTCAGCTGAGTAATCTCTTTGTACCTTGCTTTAATGGCTTCCAATTTATCTTGAATTATTAAAACTTCATCACCTAAAATTTCAAAGGCATGTTATTTCTTCTGAAAGGACAAAAGGGCTCTGTGTGTGTGGTGGGGGTGTTCAGATATTATAGTACACTGATGACATTTTCTGGGGGAAGAAATGAGACATTTTTCTAAAGATGATTTGATATAAGAAAAACCCTTTGCTAGATTTTAATTTTTCCTAGGATATCAGGCAATTCTAAACCATTCTGAAAATACAAATGAACAAACTGGAAAAGACCAAGTGCCTCTAGTTATGGGCAAAGCAGTACTTTCGTATATATCTGTATGAAGCTTTTGGTTTTCAAAGAACAGGGGTTAAAAAACCACCTGAGTTCAGACACTAACTTCATGCATGGCTTGAAAGCTAGCTTACTGGGGCAAGACGCTTGACTTCTCTGGTCTTTGTTATGCATCATTACTCAACCCTCCCCCTCCAGCAGATCCTTAATTGCCTCTATCTCTTTCTCAGACACACCAAGAAATTAAGTCCTGGGCTTCAGACTTCCAACTCAAGGCCTGAGATATTGAATGCCTCCAACTCATACGAATGGTACTTGCCTCCACTCATACAGAATGCTGAACTGGATATAGGTACAGTGGAATTCTATGGCCAAAGGAATAGTTTCTCTGAGTTGTTCTAAAACCACCTCATACAGAATTAAATCAAGCATATTTTTTTAAGCGATTCAAACACAAAGAAATGAAGCATGTGTACAGCCATGCATATAACGAGAACATAAGTTAACTGCCATAAAAATCTATCTTAAAACAAAACAAAACATTGTCTACAACCTACGTGTTCATCTGCCTTCTGCAAGTGGAAAACTAATGTAATTCTGTCGTGGGCTTCTCAGACCAGCTCCTGTGCCAAAGTACTTTGTGAGTAATAGACACAACTTCCACCAAGAACTCAAGTGAGATCATGAGAAAAAAGTGAGATCATATTCTAAAACCCCCCTTGACAGGGCTTCAAAGCACTCTCCAGAATAAAGTCTTGGAACAGCCCCAAAAGTATAATTTTGTTTTGTCCCCCATCCCTAAAATATTTTGAAAACAATGCAAAATGCATGATTCTTAGATTGGAAAGATATCTCACCTGTGGTTTGTTTAAGGAGCTCTAAACCATTTAGTAAGGCTTGATCTACATTTTGTTTCCTGAGTAAGATGTCCTCTTGCAGAACCTAAAAACACAGGTACCATTTTTTATGTAGGAGGGAAATAATTAAGTCGGTATTAGCATTAGTCAATCTCCGAGAACATCAGTTTGGTTTTACAGAGATCTATTTGAGTAGGACCCTCGCATTTCCACATAGACATGACTGTTTCCACGTTTAGGCCTCGTCTTTCCCCCACTGTGCCCCACGTCCCATGTCCCGTTCGGGAAATATTTAAGGCCCTGTGGAAATGGGTCATAAGGACGTACTGCTTCATGGTGGGTCTTTATGTATACAACCAGAAAATCACAAAGTGAAAAATCCAGCCAATAGGAGAAATTCAATCTCTTTTTAACAATGACTTCATTAAAAGTAAGCTGGAAATGCAGGCAAAGTCTTTCATGAGTACAGTGATTCATTTAAATCATAATTAACATAAAATAGCACACAAATCAGAAAGACTGGGAAAATGACAAACTGAAATGAAAAAAAATAAAATGAAATGAAATAAATGAAAATACCCGAAGTTCAGCCTGCTGCCTGCACAGCCCCTCAGAGCTGTGCTCCTGGACTGAGAGCTGGCTCAGCCTGCCGTGAGCTTCGTTCAGCCAGTTCATCAGCTCAACTTCGTCTTCCCCAAAAATCTTAGCATTACACAAGGCCTGCTGGAGGAGCTCAGACCTGCTGTGACTTTTCTCTTGAATCTCAATGTACCACACTTGAGAGGAGTCTAATTTATTCTGCACCGTATCTTTATCCTCCCTGGAGCTCAGAACCTTTAAGGACTGGCCAATGCTAACCGCCTGGTGTAAATGTTTATTGTGATGGATGATGTCATCTTCTAAGGCCTAAATAAAAGTTTGAGAAAAGAAAGAAAAGAAACAAAAAGAATGGACAAATGAAAATGAAAACATAAATAAAACTGAAGCATGGCGTCTGAAATGGATCTGGTTTGCAATTACGCATAACGTAACAACAGGACACAACTCAAATTTATGTCACGAAACCGCAAAACAAAAACTGAATCTTGCTAATGTGGGATTGACATCTTACTTTGTGCTGTGCAATTTGTTCCTCAAGTTTAGATGCTTGGGTTCCTATGGGTTCACAATTCACCAGCCTCTTTTCGATGGTTGTCAGCCACTCGTTCAGTGGTTCTAAGGTTTCATGAAATTGCTGTGCTACCACGGAGATACCTTCCAGCTGACGATTCCTACAGATATGCCAAGAAGAAGGTCATTTAGGGATAAAGAATGTGTGAAATATTCAACAAAAGTCCTCAGTCATGCTCCTGCATTCTCTTCTGAACACTTTTTAAAGAAACTATCAAGGCTAAAAATCTAACCTTCTAATACTTACAGGGCATATTAAGACAGTATTTCAATGAAATAAAGTTGGACAACATCCTCAAGTGCCTGAATCTCATGAAAGTTTGAAGTAATCTTTTGTAATAATACTTCCAATAATTACCGTTATAATAATAATAGCAATGTTACAATAACAGCAGCAGCAATAATAATAATGATAGTCCTAAGGCAATGTTTATCAAACACACATTCTGTGTCAGGTCCTATTGTAAGTGCTTTAAGTATTAATTTTGATTGGACTACCAATTACTGAGATAACTTTTAATCAAATGGTCCAAACTGGATTCAAATTTTAAAGACTATACATAGCCTCCAATCACCACCTTCTCCTTACTGGAATGATTAGTGATTTCTACTTTATAAAAGTTCAGTGTCAAGTATATTTCCCAAAAGCAATAGTTAGTATTTTACGGATTAGGTACCACAAACAGAGGACAAATATTCCAAACCATTCCTTGGACTTGGAGTTTGAAAACTTTTAGAAAACCCATTGTTTCTCAGTCGCAGAGGACGCATGTAAATTAAAACCTAAAATCAGCTTCCACTGTTCTCAGTGTTTACCTGAGGCAAGGGACTGTGGGTTTGTAGATAGAGCACCTGAATCAGTATCAAATGCTGCAGATCATTTCTGCTGGGACCAAGAGTTGCTATTGTTTTAACATCTCATCATGTTTAATTCTTAGGGAATTACATGATTTGTGAAATTAGCTTTCTATGGAGAAGAAGAGAAGAGTTTTCTATGGAAAACGGGCACAAGCTACTCAATCTAATTTCTGTATCAATATACCACAAGCCATATACACACATATTTTTTAAAGCTTTCAGTTGAAATACCCTTGATCCTAAAAAGTAAACCAAATTTTTATATCCTTTTTAATTTGTGGATTATTGGTACATCTATGACTCTTTTATTCTAAATTCAAATATCCAATAATTTACAATCAGTGGAAATAACTATTTCATAATTGGGTTTAATTTATTGTGATTTAAACTCTGAACCATAAATTTGGGATGTGAATCCTAATTATTACCAACATCCCTCTACTTAATATCATTGTGAGGAAGGTTTTGGGGAAAAAAGACCAGTTACAGTAGTAAAGCAGAGATCTAGACACTCGTTCATTTATTTTTTAAAAATTACTGAGATTATCTTCTATTGTAGCCAAGGCACAACATCCTAGGACAGAGGTTCTTAACCTGTGGGTTGCGACCCACAGGAACTGTAAAGTTAAACCCTTTAACTCTATTAAAGAGTTGAGGCTAGGCTCAGTGCCTGTAGCTCAAGTGGCTAAGGCACCAGCTACATACACCTAAGGTGGCGGGTTCGAATCCCCAGCCCGGGCCCGCCAAACAACAATGACGGCTGCAACCAAGAAATAGCCAGGCATTCTGGCAGGCACCTGTGGTCCCAGCTACTTGGGAGACTGAGGCAGGAGACTCGCTTGAGCCCAGGAGTTGGAGGTTGCTGTGAGCTGTGATGCCACGGCACTCTACCCAGGGAGACAGCTTGAGGCTCTGTCTCCAAAAAAAAAAAAAAAAAGAGTTGAGGCTAGGAAAGATGAGAACCACTGTCCTAGGACATTACAAAAAAGAGTTAATCCTCTGATGTGAATTAAGAACAACGTGAGACTTTCATCCTTCTTAGGAGCACGTCCCCTGTGCTCCAAAAACTGTAATTAATTACACCCCATAATTAAAATTAGACAAATCCTTCTCTGCACAATTCTAGTTCTGAAAATGGTAGGAACTTTTGGAACATGCTCATTCAGTTCAGTGGTTCATCTACTTTCAACCCAACCAGCCTAGATGGCTACTCTTCAAGTACATAAGCTGGTTGATGATGTGGCATCAAAGGCAGAGAATGAAATACGGGTTGAGATTTTGTAATAAGAAAACTGCAGAGAACAACACCCAGTGGCGCCAGGCTCTAGGCTTCATGGCCTCCATGAAGGTAGAGCATCTTCCACCTGCCTTGTTTCCTGGCCAACCCCTACTCTCCCCTAAAACTTAGCTGTCATTCCCCTGCCCCCCCCCCGACTAGGTTCCTATTACATGCTCCCGAAGCACCTTATAACTTTTCTTTCAAACATGACATTTGCTATTACTTCCCAAGGGCTATAAACCCTCCTAGACTGTACCCAATCAGAGGGCCAAGATCTGTCCCCCTCACTCCTGTAACTCAAGCCTACCTCTGTGCTTGATGCATGCCTGGTAGACAGGCAGCAACTGTGTAATAAACAAAGGCATGAACCACCCTCAAGGCAATAATTTTCTTAAAACAAAGAGTTGGGCGGTAGCAGGTGATTACAAGGTGTTACTATCAGAGGAATGAGGAGAGAGGTATCAATGGTGACTGCGATCAAAGTCCACATTCATGATAAGCATTGGAAAAGAATGATTTGAAGGAAAGCATTACAACACAAAATACCAGTATCAAGACCAGTGCTACTCCTTCAAAAGGACTGGGAGTACGTATGTTACCTTGTTTCAGCTTTATTAAGTAATGCCTCCCATCTGCTGTCCAAGAGACTCAGCTGCTTCAGAATCTTCACTTTATCTGCAGGCTCCGCTGTTGCAGCGATTTTTTCGCCTTCTCGTTTGATGACTTCCACAGTAGATTTGCGGTCATCCAGCAATCTTTGGAGAAGCTTGAGACAAAACATTAAATGTTTTTCAAAAAGGCAAGGGAATAATTGTATAAACACGTAACGCATCCTAAGTACATCTGATTTGCGACAAAATACATAATTCTGTCCCGGTGCTCATGCAAAAGGATCTGAGAAGGGGGATTTTAAAACAACATTTTATCTAAGGACTTATTCCTGTGGTAGGGGCTTTCCACAGCAGACAAAACTAAGAATGGAAAGGCCTGCAGTGCCCAACCCCAGGGCCGTGGCCTGGAGGAACCGGGCTGCACAGCAGAAGGTGAGCGAAGTTTCATCTGTGCTTACTGCTGCCCGCGCCACTGGCATCACCACCTGAGCTCTGCCTCCTATCAGATCAGGGCAGGCACCAGATTCTCACAGGAGCACGAATCCTACTGTCAACTGTGCATGCAAGGGATCTAGGCTGCCTGCTCCTGATCCCAACCCTGTCCATGGAAGGACTGTCTTCCATGAAACCGGTCCCTGGTGCCAAAAAGGTTGAAGACCACCAGATAAGGCCACTAGACTCCTTATGAATTTTTAAATATAAAATGATAGCATAGAGGTGCTGCTTAGGATAAGCCCGCTGAATCATGAGAAAATGGCAGAATCTCCATTCCTCTAAGGAAATGGGAATGCACTAATATTCCACAGCTATCTTCCCTGTCAAGATACAAAAGATTCTTACAAATCGTTACTGTTTTCAAAACCTTTCCCACATTAAATAATGCATTATAGATCAGGAAGTTAAGACTCAGACCAAGTTCACAAGTTAGCAAGGCTAAAACGAGAGGCTCTTGGCTCTTTTTAATAGGTGTGGGCTAGTTCCTAAAATGCTTTAGGAGGCAGAAGACCAAAAGAGCCTTTAAATATCATTCCCCAAAGGACGGGAAGGTAGGTTAAGTGTGAAATCTCCAAGCTGGCTAACTAACACTAATACTTCAGGATTTAGCAGCAGAATCAAAATACAATTTATTTCCAATTAAACATATCAAGACACCTGGAATGGAATGTTTGCTATAAGGAGCCAGAACTCAGGAAAACTTTGGTTTCTTCTAATCTAAACACATGGTTCATGAGCAACTACTATGTACATGAACCTAAAGGGGGGGGGGCGCAATGAGGAAGGCACAGGTATATAAAACACCATTTCATTGACTCCTTCATCTGACCCTGACCGACAGCTAAGGATCAAAGATTTGACAGTTACCCAGAAGTAAAAAGCTAGGAGACTATTTTGAGATCCAGACTGCCAAGGAGGTAAGAAGAACTTGTTTTAAAAGAAGGAGAAGAAACGCAAACTGTAATGATACAGGTTAGAGCCATTACATAATCAAAGAACAACAGGTGGTTTAGGCAGCAAGGGCAACTAACTGAGTGGACAGCTTTTGATACATTTTAATGCCAAAGCTTCTAGCACTAAGAAAGCAGAATCAGCAAATAGGTTTCGTTAGCTAAGCATCATTTACTCTGGGAGCTAATTTTAAACTAAAAGTGAATGGTAGCAGTTAGAGTATTAAAAAAAAAACACATAGATACAATGTTTCCAGTTATGATTCCTAAATCCTTACCTCTAAATCTATTCTTTTTTTTTTTTTTTTTTTTTTTTTTGCTGTGGCCAGGTTTGAACCTGCCACCTCTGGTATAGGGGGCCGCAGCTCTACTTTGAGCGACAGGCGCCGCCCTAAATCTCTTTTTAATGGGTATAATTTCCTAGTATGCTAAAGCTTTCAAACAATTCTTAGAGAGTTAGAAAAATGCTCAACATCACTAATCATCAGGGAAGTGCAAATTATAACCACAATGAGATATCACTTTACCCTCTGAGAATGGCTATTACTCCAAATTCAAAAAAAAAAAAAAAAAAAACAGATGCTGGTGTGGATATAGAAGGAAAGGAAAGCTTATACACTGCTGATGGGATTGCATATTACCATAACCTCTGTGGAAAACAGTATGGAGATTCTTCAAAGAAACAAAACTAGACCATTTGACCCAGCAATCCTACTACTTGGTATCTACTCCAAAGGAAAAGTCACCTGTGCTGGAATATTTATTGTACCACAGTTCACAAATCCAAAAATGTGGAATCAACCTCAGGGCCCACTCAGTACTTCATGAGTGGATTAACAAAATGTGTTCTACACACACATAAACACCCCTCAGAATATGATGCAGCCATAAAAAGAAATGAATTAATGTCTTCTGGAACAATTTGGAGGAACTGGAGACCATTACCCTATGTGAAGTATTTCAGGAAGGGGAAAAATAAAACACCACATGTCCTAATAATTTGTAACTAATCAGTGAGCACACACGGCCACAGAGAGAAATAAAAATCACTGGAAATCAAGAAGTGAGGAAAGGGGATGAGAGGTACAAACCCACCTATAGGTACAATGAACACTATTCAGGTGATAGGCTCACTAATAGCCAAGATTTAGGCACTATAAAAGCTATCCACGAACACAGCCATTTGTACTCCTTGATATTTTGAAATAAAAAAAGAAATTAAAATAAGCATAAGTTTTCCATTAAAAAACTGTTTGAGGCCAAATGAGGAATGTTTTGTTGTTTTACTCCCATTTTTAATTGGCAAATAATAACTGTATATATTTATAGGGGACAATGCAATCTTTTGATACATGTATATACTGTTGAATGATTAAACCAAGCTAATTAACATATCTGTCACTTCACCTAATGAGAACCTTTAAAATGTATTCTTTAAGCAATTTTGAAGTATGTAATACATTATTATTAACTATGCTATGTGAATAAACCAAACATAGGAAGGTGAATTTAAAATGTTTTGATTGGCAGGGTGCAGTGGCTCATGCCTATAATCAATCCCAGCACTGTGGGAGGCCCAGGCGGGTGGACTGCCTGAGCTCAGGAGTTTGAAACCAGCCTGACCAAGAGCAAGACCCTGTCTCTAAAAAAACTAGCTGGCTGCTGTGGTGGGTACCTATAGTCTCAGCTATTGGAAGGCTGAGGCAAGAGAATCACTCCAGCCCAAGAGTTTGAGGTTGCTGGGAGCTGTGAAGCCACCGCCATCAACCTCAGGGCGACTGAGAGACACTCTGTCTTAAAAATAAATAAATAAAAAGTTTTCATTTAAAAATAGTTAAATGTAAAAAACATTAATTAATTCTTCAGTTAAAATAATCACCCACTCCTTTCAAGAAACTTTACCAATGTTCTGTGTGGCAGGCACCTTACCACATGTAATTTCAAGTCATGGCTGACAAATGACAACTGAAAGTGCCACTAAATTCTTCATAACTGACCACCGTAATCAAAAGCAAAAAAAACCCATAGTAGTTGTTCCTAATTTTACTACTAAAAACTGGTACATTCTTCAGCACATATGAATCAAGTATTTGCCTCCCTCCAGTTATAGGTTAAACCAAAAAAGGCAGTTTCATTTGGGTGCAGTGGGTCACATCTGCAATCCCAACACTTTGGGAGGCTGAGGCAGAATGATTGCTTGAGGCCAAGAGGTCAAGAACAGCCTGGGTAACACAGTAAGAACTGCATCTCTACAAAAAAATACAAAAGTTAGCTGGGTATGGCAGCATACACCTGTAGTCCCAGCTACTTGGAAGGCTGAGGCAAGAGGATCACTTGAGGCTGCAGTGAGCTGAGATGAAGCCACTGTGCTCTAGCCTGGGTGACAGAGCAAGACTCTGTCTTTGAAAAAGGCAATTTCATATGGATCAGCTTAATACACAGCCTGGCCATGGAGTTTGTTTGCAATTTAAAATAGTGTGCAATTGCACATGAACTTTATGGCCACTCTGTAGAAGAGAACAACGATATTGCCATCCAAATGCTGTCATCTTGTCAGTACAACCTCCTTAACTAAGGTGTTGAAAACTGCACACACGCCCCTTCCCTTGAAGCGCTTCCTGTGCCTGACCCTTGCTCTATCACATCCTCATTCCTTTCGCCCAACCCTGCTTTATTATCACTTGCTAACTTGCAGCAATCCATTATTTACTTTATTTATTGTCTCTCCTTGCCCACTAGACTTTTAAACCCAATGAGAAACCTTTATCTTTTCTGTTGAGGGGTGGATCCCCAGCACCTAGAGCAGTGCCTGGCCCACAGCAAATGTTCAATATTTGTTGAATGACTAGTAACAAAATATCATCTGGATCAGCAATAACCAGTTAAGTAGGATATACTATTAATAAAAATAAAGAGCGTCACAGGTAAATGTTTACTCTTACTGTTAAGATTTAATGCAAAACACAACGCAGAAGCATCTCTCACTTACCTTTTGCTCTTGTATCTGGGCCTTCACCACTTTGAACTCAGCTGATGGGGGCTTCTGGTTGGCCACAAGCTCCTCGGTGTCCACCATCCAGCTGAGCAAGGACTCCAGGGCATCCTGGAACCTCCCACAGTGCAGCAAGGCCTCCTGCAGCTGGGCTGCCCGCTGGGCCACCTGCAAGGGTGCCGCTTATATCAACTTATTTACTTATTTCGTGAGAAATCAGCCCATAGGCCATAACTTTTCAAGCTATTTTCCCCATACAGTCACACATTTCCTTCTCCTTTTCACTTCTAAATTTGCACAAAGCATTGATAGTGCAAAGGAAATAACTTTAGCAAGTGAGCCATGAAAGTAAGGCCACCATTGCCAAACGGTCAACAGAGAAGATGAAATCTTTGAGATTTGGGAAATGTCCAATACGTTTATGATTGGCAAGGAAAGATTCAAATAGTTTAAAGTTATTGTAAGAAACAATGCTTTAGTCATTTTTATCATTTTAACTTTTTATTTCCTCCTGGTGAATATCTGATATAATGACTTTTTTAAACAACTAAGATTAAAAGAAACTGTTATATAATAGCAGAAAGAATCACAATTACATTTTGCTAGAAAAAACAACTATGAAGTATCCAATTAAATCCTCCTAGCTCTAAGTTCTGAAGTCCTTTTTCAACAAACCACGGCCTTTGTCTTCTAGTAAATGGACTCTCTGTGTCCTACACAGAGGTATCCATTGCCTTGCTCATAGATCTTTTCCTTTGGAACTGAAAAAGAGGTTGGCAAGAAATTTTAAGCACTATGGAATATATTTACACCTGCATGCCAATTGTGTTTAAGGGAGCACTGTAACATGAATCAGACTGCAAAGAATGCAGTTTTATGAGCTGGCAACTGCATAAGATTTCAATGTTGGGAAAATTGTACACAGTTATGATTTAATAAAAAAAAATCATCATCACCCTCACCAAAACTATTGTGTGCCAGCATTATCTCCCTAAGGCATTAGAGCATTATTTCTAGCATCTTCCCTCATGGAAATTTAGAAAAATGTGGGATTACATCTTCTTTTTTTTTTTTTTTTTTTTTTTCTCACTATGTGGCCCTCAGTAGAGTACCATGCTGTCACAGCTCACAGCAACGTCAAACTCTTGAGCTTAAGAGATTCTCTTGCCTCAGCCTCCCAAGCTGGGACTACAAGCACCAGCCATAACACCCAGTTATTTCTTGGTTGCAG